AGTAACAGGTGCCTTACTACTAGTAACAAAGAAGCTAGTAGAAACAATGTACTCTTCAAGTGTTCGATTTGCAACCTGATTCTGACGGCCATGGATCCTGGGACATCGGAGCCCCGGTTGAGACACGAGCTTCGGGATCAGGCCGGGGGCTTCTGGAGAGCAGAGTTTGGGGCGTGTTACGAGAGGAAAAGCATATGAACCTACGAACGATGGCCTCCAACCTAATAGCGATGGCCTCCTACTAGTACAAACTTCTCTCTAGAAACCTTCTTTGTGTCTGGTACTACCAGCCCCCATGAGCCTCAGCCCCCCTACCCCTTCAGCTGAACCCAATTGGAAAATGACATAAAATGACATATTTTTGCTTGTGCTTTGGATTTTCCGCCGAACACAAAGACGCCTTACGCTGTACTATTGGACTCTGTCCGTGGCTCAACCAACATCCCTAGATAATATAGTATATGGCTTGCCTGCATGCCCATCGTGCGTACGCTGCAGTCATTCCCGTGATCTTTCCTTCGCTGGGCCCCTGCCGCACCTCTAACTACGTTTCGCCCAGCTTACCAACTCTCGAGTTCCCATGAAACGAAACAGCTGTGCATTCGCGGGACATGCCTCGCTGATATTGCTCTAGCCCGGACAGCGGTTGCAAGAAACCACACCTTTGTATCTGCGTATTTTTTATGTTCTTCTTTCCAGGATGCTGCCTGGTGCCTGGGCAGGCTGGGAACAGCATCAGCTTGATGCAAATGAGCTTTGTTTTGTTTGTTTCTTTCTCCCGTTGGACTTGTAGGCTTCCTTTGGACTGTTCTTGTTTTCGTTGAGTCGCACATGACATACTGTATATGTTTCCCATTCAATAAAATCAATCTTACAGAATACAAACACGATTCTATTTACCGGCTACTTAACATACTTAACATGAACTTATCTTGAACTTATGTTGTACTTACTAAGTCATGCCGCAAGTAACATTAGTCATATGCTATCTAGCACAAATCGAGGCGGACCTACTAGTAGTAGTCGTCGTCGTCGTCGTCGTAACGTCGTCGTCGCAGTCGTAAAGTCGTAGTCGTAGTCGTAGTCATAGTAGCCAGTTAGCCAGCATGACTACAACGGTCGCAAGATGAGTTTAACTTGTTTTTTTTGGCTTCGATGAGCTGGACCTGGCTCTAACACAACACATATATAGGTGAACATAGTGTCAACCTCAGCCAACCTGGTGCAACATGGGCGTGTGACACATGCTTGTCAACCATATTGCGGTGTGCGACGGCTCACCCGACTTTTATCCAGGCCCTCCGTACACGGAGGATGCTGCCGGAATGCCCCATGTCCCGGCCCCCGTCTTCCACTTTCTAAGCCTGCTTCCGCCTCCAAGTCCCTAAATTCCCCATGTCCAGGGTTGTTTCATGCTATGTAGTTTCGAAGCTGCAGTGCCTCATTTCATCATTTTGTCATTGGTGGATCTGTGGTGAAGAGTTAGCGCGTCCAAGGCATAGGTTCGGGGAGAATGGGGAGGCCAAGGGAAGCAGTCGGCCGCGCGTGGTAATTTCCCTCAAAAGGACCGATGTGTTCCCTCATGTTTTTCCTTGTTCATGTGTGGATTGTGATGAATGGCCGGAGGGACTCGATGTATAGGTTGGAAAGGAAGTTGATGGACCTAGCACAACAACGAAAGGAGAAAATGGATTGGGCTAGCCCTCACCAAGACATCGGAGCAAAGCGAGATCCACCAGTTCATCCGACTCAGCAGTGGGCATCCAATCCACCACCAATGAGCATCATGGTCTGGGCACATGGTCTGCCGAAAAATATGTAGCCCTTCCCTTCCTTTTAGAGATTCGAAGCCATTTATATATAAACCCCTCAAAGGGCCTTTGGGGACCTATCGGTCTTGGCACAAAAAGTAGGGGGTTCGTTTGTGCTCTCTTCGTTTCAGTTTCTTTCCAATTTTAGTTTCCGTTCTTTTCGGACATTGAAGTCGTCTCACCAATGCACTTGAAGCAATTTTCGTTACGGCGCTTCGTAGAGTCAGTCTGAATGTAGGTATACTTTCTGGTGGGTGTGGCCAAGCATTCGCGTGGCGAACGAAAAGGGCCGTCTAAGCCAAGATGACCTACCTCTGCTGCCCAGGGCAGATGATCCAGAATTGCTCTTTCAAAAATGTGCAGCACTTTGGAAGATGCAAAAGTCTGAAAGATCTGCAAGAGAGAAAGACAGCGCCCAACTTTTGTGGTCCATTTGCTGGAGAATTCAACGGCGGGTCTTCTTGTATTCAGTTCTGCATGGATGGACATTTCTTTTCTTCATGACCATCGACCCATTGATGCTTCGTGTGCTTCTCAGTGCTGTGCAGGATATGGGCACTGTTAGCATCGCCACTCAATTTCTTTTGGTCGGAGCGCTCAGCCTATCAATGCTTGTTCGTGTCAGTTGTATGGAGATCTGTTTCTTTGCTTCCGTTCGGGTGCAGAATAACGTGCGCTCTGTGTTGGTCCATGCCATTTTTCGGAAGTCACTATGGATTCCTGAACATCTTTTGGATGTGGGGAAGATCGCCAACTTAATGGCTACAGATGCTGACAAGATTGGCAAGTGGTCTGGGCTTCTGTTTGAGTTGTCTCAGTGGTCTTGGACATTTTGTTCGCTACCTATCTTAGTGTACTTCCTCTATGGGTTGGTTGGCTCCGCGGCCTTTATCGGCATGATAATGATCATCCTGGGAGCTACAACTTCGAGGTCTTTGGGATTGGCATTGCAACATTACACCCGGAAAGTTCAAGATTGTCGCGATCATCGGGCCAGATTGATGAGTGAAATGGTGAGGGGAATGAGGACTGTCAAGCTGCAAGTGTGGGAGCCAGTATGGCTTGAGCGGATTAGTGAAGCACGAGGGCTGGAAATGAAGGCAATTTGTCGAGTGCGCATCCTTCAAGCCTTCAACTCGCTTGTGGGGTCGGTGCTGAGCGTCATGGTCCCCGTGAGCGTGTTTGCTTGGTACACTCTTGTCAATCAAAACAACCTTACGGCGGCAACTCGGAGCAATGGACTTTTGAAAGCATGGGACGAAAGTAAGGAGAAAGAAGATGTCGGTCTGAAACCTCAATTTCCGAACTCCAGGATCTATCTGTTCGACTCTCTACCTCTCAGTCTATCTCTCGCGTCCAATGTGTGTGTTTTTCTTTCACCGAATGGACAGTAGGCGCCGGGAGGGCTAAGAGGTTGGAACCCAGCGGTTGCTCCTAGTAGTAAGGCCCTTGTTACTAGTAGCGATGCACTTGTTACTAGTAGCTTCTTGTTACTACTAGTAAGGCACTTGTTACTAATAAGGAGGGGCTCCGGCCTTAAAAAGAGAAGCTTTCTCAAAGAACCTGAGAACGAAGAATGAAAGTTGGCTAGCTACGTCCAGTGCTAGGTCGCTGTTGGTCTTGACATCTCTTGACTAGTGTCGCCCATGCACCTCCACCATGGGTGCAATGGAGACAAGCGAATCAATCTTTGTGCAATTGGATTAGCGAATTTTAGTTTGATCGATGATATCGTAATATCACATCTCAAAGTCGCGCAGTGAATAAACATGTTAGGCGGGGTTTGTAGATTCACCAACGCAACTAGAAGAGAAAGACATTTCACGAGTAGAAACAAACTAAGTTAAATCTATAGTCCCATGTCAATCTATATGTGCACAAATAAGTCCCGCGATTTATTCCAGCTATCCACCTGCATACCTTACTATTGGTTTAAACAAACATGAAAAAAACAGGTAGTGGCTCGTTGAATACGGGCTCGTGGATCTTTGCACATCCGTCAATATGATGGTGGATGACAATTTTAAGCCTTTTGTGGAATGAAGGTAAGCCACTGATATTGAGTTTCTTTTTAAGGGTTTCCATCAGAAAAGTTTATATAATCATCTCATTTTGTTCTCATTCACTTTTTTTCAACATAAAAGATATGTGAATGTTTGTACGTAGCCAATTTTTGTAGGGCGGGAGAGTGGTCGCGGATCACAATCACGACTGTACTGTGGACTGTAGATATCAGAATCTGGGAGCTCAAGTTTCACTAACCATTGCGTTTGTTGCAATAACGAAAGAAAGGAGATACCTTTTCTTCAAGGAGTGTTGAATGGTTGCTGGTCAGCATTTGTTTGTTATGCATGAGTTGTTCTTTTGGTCCATCGTTTGAGGAGAGTCCAGGGGATGAGCTTTTTGTGTGAATGCAAGAACGTCGCAGTTGTAACTTGTTGGATTTTGAGGGACAAGGTTAAAAGATTGTTCTGCTTCGACCCGAATTTTCAACTGCTCCCCGGCAATTCCAGCTGAGTTCTCACAAACAGTAGAAAGAGGATGGATCGATTTTTGATCTCGCAACCACGGTTAGAAAAGAGGGGCCATTATGTGTTTTGGCAGCTATCACGGCCTTGGCTAGCTACGCGGGGCTGAATTCGTCACGGACCACGCCACTGACAAACCAATGGTTTCTTGCTAGTAGCGATGCCCTTGTTACTAGTAGCGCATTCCAATGTGGTCACCTGATATCACTGTCATAGGTCCTGTAGCAAAATCCAGCTCTTACATTCCAATAGAAACCACGCGTACCACAACCTTAACCAGAGGAAGCGCTCTTACAACTCTATGGTTCCTGCTCTTCCCAGGTGCATCGCACCACAAAATCATTGCTGAAAGTCACGAACGCCATGTAAAGAGTACAATGAGGAAATAGACAACGGATTGAAGCGGGTGAGAGGAAACCAAACTAAACATGCATTTGTTGTTGTATGTGCGACGTCCCCGATCAGCTGTAGGGATTCTTTTTGGGTATAGATTCAGAGATCGACCCCTATCGCTGCAGTTGTGCATTGCCTTGCTTTTGCACAAAGCAGCTAAGGCAACAGCTTTCACTGCACTTGCTTGGATTACCACTCTGCAGTGGTCAGTTCAAAGCCTCCCTGGAATCTACAATACCGTGGCCAACCTGAAGCCAAGCCTCACCCGCATTGATGATTTCCTCACGACTCCCATCACTGAGCTCTCCACTCCTTACGGAGCACCAGCACCGAATGGAGCTCTCCCGTCCTCCGTGGAGCTGAGGCCGATGGCGCAGCTGGCGCAGGCGCAGCACCGGTCGATGGACTCGAGAGACTCATGGCGAAGTGAACCTTGGCTTGATGAACATCGGCCTTGTCAGGCGCCTTGATGAAGATACTAATGGCTTTTTGTTACTAGTAGTAAGGCCAGGAGCCACTAGTAGCGTCCTTGTTCCTAGTAGCGATGCCAGGAACCCCTCTAGTAGCTTCTTGTTACTAGTAGCCTTTGGTTGCTAGTAATGACATCGGCCTTGTCAGGTGCTCTCACAGGTGGAATATGCGGTGGAGGTGAAGGATGCAGCTTTTGGATACAAACGCATGTCTGCAACAGGCCTTAGCGAGACTTGTGTACTGAGCGCCGTGAACCTTCAGGTGAAGGCAGGTAGCTTTGTAATGATTGCTGGAGCCGTAGGCAGTGGCAAGAGTACTCTTTTGGCATCCCTCGCTTGCGCGCGACCTGCTTTGCATGGCTCTTGTCATACAAACGGTCGCCGGGCGTACGTCCCTCAAAAGCCCTTCCTGCTAAATGGAACCATCCGAGAGGACATCACCTTCGGACTTCCGTATGATGAGGAGAGGTTCAATCACTTGTGCGGTTGCTCTTTTAAGAATTGGGCAGGACGTGAGGAAGAAGGCTTATTAAGCACTAGCTCGCCTGCCTAAGCGCTTTGAAGAAGCACTCGCAGTATTCATTTGGTTCCTAGGTGGTTAACTTAGCTTTAAGTATCTTGACAGGAGAGGTACAACTCTTGCGTGGAAATGGCAGCGTTGCCGGACGACTTGAAGACTTTGACGAGGGGAGATTACACTTTGGTGGGTGAAAGCGGAGCAGCTGGGACTCAAGTTGGAAAACGCTATTTTTTTGCCTGCAGGTCGTCAAGTTGAGGGGTAGACGCTGTAGACGCCGGTGTGCATAAAAGAAGGGTAAACATAAGCATGTAAAGTGTGAGTTAAGTTTCTCTAGATTTTTCTAGGAACCTTTAGGGCGGCGTGGTGAGCTTTTAAGGCGTCGCTTCCTTCTTCCTATTTGCCCAATCTCTCTCGTAGCCCAGCCCCTAGTAGTCCTTCTCCTAGTAGCGATGCCCTTTGTTCCTAGTAGCGTCCCTTGTTCCTAGTAGTAGGGCCAGGAGCCCCTAGTAGCGTTGGATCGCTCCGGCTGTCGTCGTGCCAGGTCCAACTCTCTGGTGGTCAGAAGGCACGAGTAGCTTTAGCCCGAGCAATCTACACGGATGCTGATGTGGTTTGTTTGGATGACGTGTTGAGTGCAGTGGATGCGCACACAGCTCGCTTCATTTGGCAGAAGTGCTTTGTCGAGTTCTTTCTCAAGTCCAAGAAGACCCTCATTCTCGTGAGCCACCAAATCCAGTATTTGTCACGACCAGAGGTTGACTCCATCATCATGCTGCGAGATGGGCAAATTTGGCTGGAGGGACCTTGGTCAGTATTGGCTCACAGTGGTGATACCTTTCTAAGCCTTGTCCAAGCTTGGAAGGAAGAGGAAGATGCCAAGGATGCAAAGGAAAACACTCAGGAGCATGCAAGTCATGCAGAAGCACGTGGCAAAGAGAACGAGCAAAGTCGGGTTTTTCCTTCTGTCCTTGCTTCCATTTCTCAGCAAGTATGGCTTCATGAATGTCAAAGCGCTTTGGCATCGGTCTTGGGAGCTTTAGATGGAAGGAGGATTGATCGGATGCTGATTGAGCGTGTGCACCAAGCTTTGAGCGGTGAGCACGACACGGATCTGGTGAGGGAAGGTTCAATCTCATGGCCAGACTTCAAAGTCTATTTACAAGCTTTTGGTTCGACTTTGATTATTTCATTGATGTTGTTGCTGATGATCTTCTCAGCCATCAGTCAGATCATGTCCACGCTATGGCTTGCAGCATGGACGGGTGGAACGGAAGAACGTAGCGAACGCGAAAGCGTGTTGATCTACTTCGGCCTTGGTGTCTCCACAAGTCTGGCGAACTGTGTCCAAGCGGTTCTGCTGACAGCGGGTGCTCTTGCAGCTTCCCATACCATTCATCATGACATGTTGCATAAAATTCTTGCTGCGCCGATGTCCTTCTTTGACTCCTCGCCCACCGGGCGAGTGCTGAATCGTTTCCTGCAAGACTTGCAAAACATCGACAGCTTTGTTCCCAACTCCATCTCAGACCAGATCATGAAGACTTTAAACATCATTACACAACTCTCTTTGATCTATATCGAGGCCCCTTGGGTGCTTTGCACCTTGCCAGTGCTTGCTGTGCCATACTCGATGATCTACCGAAGGATGCGTATCCCAAATCGAGACAGCAGACGCTTGGAGAGTGCCGCACGGTCGCCCGTTTATGCGCATTTCAATGACACCTTACATGGCCGGGAAACCGTTCGGGCTTTTGGTGCGGAGGCGGAGACGAGAATCGGAGAGAACGTTTGCTGATAGGATGTTGGAGACCAGGTAATAACGCAGGAAGCTAAGTAATCAGTAATTATGGAGTAGTAAAGACATGTATATTCTAATGACTTACTTGGATGCCGTAAGAAACAGTTTGAGATTTCCTTGTCAATTTTAGGAAGTTCAAGAGACATTGATTGAGTTGTCCAAACATGGAAAATAAGTAAAACACTGTGTTTTGATTTGTTCAATTTAAATTTGGTTGCAAGAAAACACCAACCTCAGTCTCAAACCCTATCCCAAATACTGGTTGAACAACGCGAAGGAACAATGAAGCGCAGAACAATCTACGTACTTCATAATTTGTGGAAAGCACACGGCTATTGCAACTAAATGGTTTTTCTTAAGTCTTGCCTTGAGTATTTACGTTTACGTACTACAGTTATCATGCCTAGGCTAGGTGACTTCGCTGCAACAACTCAGAGACTGAGAGGCGCAATTGGCACGTTGTGCATTTGCATGAGGCATGTGTCATTTTGAGGAAATAGATCATGAAGAGGAAGAAGAACGCTACTAGGGGCTCCTGGCATCGCTGCTAGGAGCAAGGACACTACTACTAGGAACACAGGGCATCGCTACTAGGAACAAGGACGCTTGTATGGTAAGCGAGATGTGACCCCAATGCGAGATCTGGCGGTGTGGTGTGCTCTGAGCTGGAGCGGTGCGCGCTAGGCTTTTACACGTTTTGGACTCCAGAGTGGAGCGCCCTGGACTTTTGCCAGAACACATGTCAGAATAAGATCGCAGATTTGATAGCAACAAATTTCAGAATGCATACCAGAACCAAAGTCGCAACACATTTCACAACATGCACCAGATTTGATGCGAGAACACGTCGGTCGGAGGTACATGTTAGAAGACATGTCAGAACACATGGCACACTTGACCACCGGAACCAGAAAGGATGTCAGAACACATTCCCCGCCTTTATGCTAGATGATGTGTACCAGTGTGCCACAGCATTGTGTCATTGCGCATGTCAGGCAGCGTTTGTCCCCCTTCTTCCAAGTCGTTCTTTTGCATGGGGATCACTCGAAGCAAGCACCCCTAATTACACGTTTTTACAGTTATAGTCAGTTCAGTTACTTTTGTTATTAGTGTCTTCATTTATTTGCCTTCCCCGTTCGTATTGCTTGCGTAGTTTGTTTGTGTGGGGCCTCAATTTTTCATGGTTTGACCAGCAATGAGCCTCAGACAACTTCAGGATCAGGACCTGCAAAAAGGCAAAGAGGGAAGCATGAGACACTCGTTTGGAACAATGCAGAAAACGTATGTGTACACACACATATATATACATATATATATATATATATACACATTCACATAATGAAGCCATAAAGCTGTCATCATTGCTGCAAGTCTTTTTCATGGCTTCCAAAAAGCACATTTTGTGTTGGTGCCATCTGAAACATTGTGATGTCCTTTTCGAAAAATCATTGTATATTTGGGGATTTTGCTTGGGCTGTGGAGCCTCTGCTGCTACAGGCGCGGTTTGAACAGGAGAACCTGAAACATGTTGGCACAATGTCGCAGGGCCTCTATGGGAATCAAGCAGTTGGAAAATGGGCACAAGCGCTCACGACACAATGGGGCTGCATACTGTATTGTGCCTCTGCTTTCGTTTGCGTCGAGCTGGCCCGGCAAGGGCGAATGCCGGCGGGACACATGGGTCTTGTTCTTCTCTATTCGGCACAGCTTCAAAGGGACATGATGGATTACATGAGCCGTGGCCGCACCAAACCAAATGGGGAGTCGAAATGGGTTTTGTGTGGCGCTGGTGTAGTTTATGCCGCGTGTTGACCGAGCAATAAGCATCACGGGTCTTGGGGTGTTTCTTCGGGTCTCCAGTGCGTGGGCCTCAGCGAGACGCTGGTCGTTGGGGTTCGCAAACAGCATCAGGTGTGTTGATGCTTTTCTGTCCTTAGTGCTGAAATGAGCACAGGGTTTTCAAGGAAGCTCCCTCCCACCCTCAAAAATTCAAGAAGCGCTCGCACTATTCATTTGGTTCACTCAGTTTGGGGCTTCAGCACCAGAAAAAGAACTGGGACCATTCCACGATTCATTCTGCCTGTGAAGGACTAGGGGGTCATGCTAGCTATCCTGCATCCTAGCTAGTAGCAGATTAGCTAGTAGGTAATTACGGTAGTTAAACTCGTGCTTAATCAGGTGAGCGATAAGTAGGCGTCTACTACTTCCTTAAGTTACGGCGAGCTACAACAGAGCATCTGTAAGACCTGTGTGTTTCACTACGTCGTGACATTGACGCTGCAGGATGGGCGCGGCAGATGTCGAGACGAAGTTTGTGTCGGTGGAGAGGGTTGCCGAGTACATGCGCTTGGACAGTGAGATTGATGCGGGATCGAATGAGACGAACCAACGCTGGAAAGGTGAAATAGAATTTCAAGCTGCCTCTTGGCACATCAAAGCTTTTAACAAGTCATCGAAGAACATGAAGGAAGCACACAAACATCTAGAAACCAACTGAATAGTGAGAAACCTAAGCTTTCCTTTGTCCAGAGCTTACTAGCTACTTAAGCTACTACTTAGTGGAAGCTTACTACTAGCTGTAGCTTTGTGATTCCATTTGTCGCTTTGAGGTGTCCATGCGCTATCGCCTTCACCGAGATTTGGTGCTTCGAGGGATCAGTTTAAAGATCGAAAGCAAATCCAAATTGGCCTTCTGCGGCCGAACAGGTTGCGGGAAGAGCTCTCTTTTCAGACCCTGGGTTTGAATCTGTCATTCTCTTTTTGCATTGTGCTGTATTGATAACTCTGCACCTATTTGATGACAATTTTTGATGTTCCATGCCATTTGAGCATGCGACTGCGAGGTGTTTTGAACCGTCTTTATCCTTTGGCATCGGGCTCCGTCTTGCTCGATGGCATTGATATCAGCAACTTCCCTCTCCGCACGTTGCGAACGAAAGTTCGGGTTGTTTCGCAAGAAGCTTTCCTCATCTCAGGCTCATTAAGGCAAAACTTGACCATGTCGTCACAATCCGGTGGAATATCTGATGACATCTTGTGGTATTGTCTTCGCGTGGTTGGATTAGAAGAAAAGGTTCAATCTCTTTCGGGTGCTTTGGACTTTGCAGTCGACATGGCCGGGCAAAACTTTTCAGTTGGTGAACGGCAGCTTATCACATTAGCAAGGGTATTGGTGCCCAGCTGTCCTTGCAGAATAGATGATTGGGCGCCTCCGCCGGTACTTCTTTGTGATGAAGCCACTGCAAATATCGACGTGGTGACAGACGAGAAGGCCCCCCAGACCCATCCAGACCCTGTATGATCTGTATGAGACAGTTAGTCAACAGGCCTTGACATGTGCGTTGTGTGTGTGTTTGCGCTCTGGAGTCAAGGATATCACCTTAGCAGAAGGCCCACCGCTTTGATGTAGCCGGTTATCCAATTAAGAGGATTGCATTCGATGGCTGGTTTGATCCTGGGCGCGTGCCTGCTTCTGCTGTGTTGTTTCTCTGACAGTGCTCCTTTGACCGTGCGGGCTTTTTACCAGGCTGAGGGAGTTATGGTTGTGGACCGTGAGGTTTTGAACTTGGACTTGGAGTCTTCTTTGACTTGGACCTTTGTGGATGTTGTGGGCATGGCTCGTCTTGCACATGTTTGGTAGACACCGCATAGATGCTTAGGCTTAGGCCTCTTCAAGCGGCTGGAGCGCGCCATTTTTTTTCAGAACTCTTTTCCCTGTGTGTATCTTTTCCCTTTGTGGCAAGTGATGCTAGGTCGGAGTTGCTGACAAGAAATACTCACAAGGTTGCCAGCAGTGTTTGGCCGTTCGGCTCGGTGGTGTATCGGGTATCGGGTTGGGCTTATCACCCACCCACCTAGCACCATCCTGCAGGCTACTTTCTGCACTTGCAGCTCTGTATGAGTCCGTGAATTCTGTATTTTCAATTGCCGAAATTTAAGTTTTCTTGGTCATGCTGCATGTTTCATGTTGCATAAAAATGTGTTTTGAACTTGAACTGACATGGCTGGAATGCATTTGCGTTGCATTGCTTTTTCCCCTCTCCCCCGTGTTATGGCTCAATGATCGTTTACACTCATCCCACTTCCTTCTGTACACCCGCTATGCTGCGTAGCAGCATCCAACAGCTACTTCTACGTTTAGTGTCTCCACATTCCCGGAAACCTTTTATCAGAGTGGGTGTCGGGTTCGATTTTGTTTTGGGTGTTGTTGTCGTGTAGGCAAACTCGGCAGCTGGCACCGGGGGCTCTCAAACGAGATGGCCTGTGGACAGGCAAAACCAATAAAACCAATTTCAGTTGCTGCCCACGATCAACCAAACCCACCCACCCTGTTAGCAAAGTCTGCACCCCAGTTTTTGGGCCAATGCTAAAAGGCAATTGGGCCACCGTCCAGTTAGCAAAGCATATCTTGCCCAGGAAGCGTCCTGTTGCTGATAGGTTGGAAGCCATCGCTACTAGGGTGGAGACCATCGCTGGTAGGTTGGAGGCCATTGCAATTAGGTTGGAGGCCATCATTATCACTAGTTTATCATTGTTTCTTTTGCTTTTCATCCTCAGGGCTCTTACCTGCTTTTGCTCACCTTTGACTCTTTGACCCTAATTGTGAAGATGTACGCCGTACATCAGCTTTTTGTAGGTCAGGAGACCAAACCACCGTCCGACAGAAGGGCGGGCTCGAGAAAGCCAAAACCGGCTCGGTGCGCGATCACGCCGATCGCCTCTCGCCTTCGATTCGTTCGTTGGTTCGTGCTTGCTGGAAGACTTCGTTTGCTTCTGGTTTTCTACATTGGTAGCGGAGCCTGGCTCACGCCGGGCTCCCTACCCTGCGCACTTCGCGACGGCTCCCCGACGGTTCGGAAGAAGCCCTACGTCACGAACGGTTCCAAGAGCTCTATTTTCCTGTCTAGGTCTTTGTCTGGTTGCAGTTCTCATCCGCTACCACATCACCCCGGCGAACCAGCAGACCCCTGAGGAGCTTCTTGGCACCATGGTGAAAGGGAAACAACAACAACAGACGCAGGCATCCGGCTCGACGGGAGGCAGTTCATCTTCCGGCTATGCTGACCTCAGGGACTCCTACGTTCCCATCTTCAGCGGACAGCCGAGTGACTACAAGGAATGGAGGCAGCGGATACATTTGTATCATCGAAAGATGTCCATCACCAAAAGGGGAAACGAAAGTGTTCTCAACATCGTGGGCAGCTTCACAGGCCTTACCTGGAGACTCTTTCAGGACTGGGCGCTGGAGGACCTCGAGAAGGCCGAAGCATTCACGAAGATCATAGAGGTCCTCGACCGGAACTTTGCCTGTTCAACTTCCCACAGACTTTGAGGGATACTTCAACTTGTTGCAGAGGCCACCAGGTCAGACGCTCCTCATGTACGTCAACGACCATGAAGAAGCATATCGCAAACTCTTGCAACATAAAGTTGAGCTTCCTCCCTCAGTCCAAGGATGGCATCTACTTCGCAGAGCTGCCTTGACAAGGGAACAGCGGCAGATGATCACGCTCAAAGCACCCGGCATGGAGAAGAACGACGTGATCGAAGCGCTCTACTTGGTCCTTGGACAGGACTACAAGGGAGGCGGCTGGAACAACGATCGCAACCGGCGATTCCAATCCTCCTGGCGCTCAAACAAGGCATACGCCGCTGATGACTACCTCCCAGAGGATGATGGTGACGAAACCTGGGACTATGGTTACTATGAGGGAGAAGAGTCATGGCAAGAGGACACCACTCAGTATGACTACGCCTATGAGGAGCCGTACGACTTCGACCAGGACGCTGGCTACTTTGGTGAGGAACCTTGGGTTGAAGATGATCCCAATGGCGAAGTCGGTGATCCTCAGAGCCTGGCAGATCAATATGATCAAGCTTTCGCTTCCTACACAGACGCAAGAAAGCGCTTTCAGGAACTCCGGATGTCCAGAGGCTACCTCCCCATCGTGGCACTGACAGATGGCCATCAGCAGCAGGGTCCGGCTTCATCCACTTCTCCGACTACAAGTCCATCAGGCTGGAGGAGCAAGGGAAAAGGAAAAGGGGGTGGTTCCAAATCAGGCAAGTCCTCGATGACAATCAAGTTTCCCCCACAAGGAGGAGGAAAGTTCGACCCAAAAGGGAGAGCCAAGGCCAACCTCAACTGCTTACGATGCGGCCAACCTGGCCATTGGGCGGCAAATTGTCCACAAGGATCGTCATCACCTTCGAGGTCAAGCCTCAAACGCCCAGCATCTGCAACCGAAGGTATGGCCTCGCTGACATCGCCACAGGAGACGGCACTTCTCATCTTCCAAGACAGCAGCGGCCAAGAAAGACCCGACTGCACGATGCTTGATCCTGGCGCCAGCGCTTTTCTCTCTGGCTATGGCCCTTTCCGACGACTGGTTGACCACTACAAGGACATCAACTTCCCAGTCGAGGTCATCAAGATGACAAAGGGCAGGCGCAAGTTTCAGTTTGGCGGAGATGCCTCACTATGGTCAGAATGGAGCGCTCACATCCCCGTGTTCGTGGATGGGCGTTACGGCACCATCGAGATCTTCCTCTTGCCTGGCAACACTCCTATGTTGTGCGGCAGGCCTATCATTGAGGCCTTGGGAATGTCCATGGATTTCGCCAACAGGCGACTCAAGATTGGCTCGTCACCCTGGCAGCCTGCAGTGCTGGGTCGACAAGGTGAATATCTGTGGTCCTTGACTGGCGAGCATGATCTCATGCACTACGATCCCAACAAACCAGAGTTTGAGCTGCGAACCAATGACCCTGACGTCCACCAGCAAGACGGCTACAACCTCAAGGACTTCACGCTTGAGGAGAAGGTCTTCAACAGTTCCGAGCCGACGAGATCGACAACAGAGGCCTGCGACACCAAAAGCCTCAAGAGACATGATTTGAAGACCATGGACGTGACTCTCTCCACACAGCTCAACGAATTGTCAGCCTACATCACCCGAGAGCTTCACCGACCTGAACGACCCAGAGTCCTGTGGGAGCTATACTGTGGAAAGGCTCGAACCTCAGAAGTGGCGCAGTCACTTGGCATGGAAGTTCGCACCTTTTCCTACGACAATGGGTGGAATTTCGAACAGCTGAAACACCAGGAGGCCTTCCTGGAGCTGCTTGATGAAGAGATGCCCGACGAGCTGCTCATTGCTCCTGAGTGCAAGCTCTGGTCTCGTATGCAGTCCCTTGGCCGAAGAACGCCGGCACAACAGGATGCCCTGGTCGCTGCTAGACAGCGACATCATGATCGGCACCTCATCTTCGCCAAGAAGGCATACCTCAAACAGCTCTCCGGCGGAAGACACGCCACCATCGAACAGCCCAAAGATGCCTTGTCCTGGAAAACTCAGGCGTTGCGAACACTCCCTGGCCGCATCACAGACTTCTCACAATGTCGCTATGGAGCTCAGTGTTTGGACACAGATGGCCAATGGAGACCCGTGCTGAAGAACACCCGGCTGTTAACGACCAAGAAGGCCGTTCAAGAAGCCATGTCATTGCAGTGCAAGCATGATCACCAGCACTGCCATCTCGAGGGCTCAGCAGCCGGCTATGGGGTTCGCACCCGCTATATGGAGGACTACCAACCGGGTTTGGCAGCAACACTGGCCGCAGCCTTGAGCCTACCGGAAACACCTCAATCCTGGGAGAATGTCTATGCCACTACTGAAGAGAAGGAGGTGACTGGATCCCTGGTCCGCTTGCAGGCGAGCACTCGCCAGGAAGCCATCCGCACTGTGCAGAAGCTCCATCGGAACCTTGGACATCCTTCGAAGGAAGCCCTCACCGAACTTCTGGCAGCTCGTGGCGCCTCCGAAGCTCTTCTTGAAGCTGCTCGTGGATATACATGTCTAGCCTGCACCAAATACAAGAAGCCAGCACAAGCAGCACCAGCTTCGATGCCACAGTCGTCCACGTTCAACGACACAGTGCAAGCAGATGTCTTCTGGATTCGTCGTGGCAGCGCCAAGTTTCCAGTGATGAGCATTGTGGACATGGCTACACGCTACACCTCAGCTACTCTACTCCGTTCGGAGCAGACCGAAGAGTACATCAAGGCATTTGAGCGATCATGGATCGCACACTTTGGACCTCCGACCAAGCTCATCACAGATGAGGGGCGACCCTGGCTTGGACGAACTATGGATGACTGGACCAGCTCACACGCCATCCAGCACATTGTGGCGCCAGGCGAGGCTCATGAACGTCTTGCTGTGGTAGAGCGTCGCCACGCCATGATCCGACGAGCCACTGAGATATACATGGACGACCTCAAGATTGACAACGTCAGCGGAATCCGTGAAGCCTTGACTTACATCGTGCCCCAGATCAACGCTGCACCAACGGTGGCAGGCTTCAGTCCATCTCAGTGGGTCCTTGGACACCAACCACGTATGGCTGGTGATCTGTTATCGGATCACCTTGAGGCAGTTCATCTTGGAGGTCATCCCAACTTCGAAGAGACCCTGACCAAGCGCCATGCAGCCAAGAAGGCACTACTGGACGCAGATGCAGACCGCAAACTGCGTCGTGCCTTGAGCCTCAAGTACAAGGGCATCAACACGGAATTCCACCTTGGCCAACAGGTCTTCTTCTGGAGGGATGCCCGTCAACCTGACCTGGTGAAGATCAGATGGCTCGGACCAGCCCACATCGTGATGAAAGAGTACAAGAACCCGCAGGAGGCACACAGTCAAGTCTCCGTCTACTGGCTGGCATTCGAGAGCCAACTCATTCGCTGTGCACCACATCACATCAGGCCGGACATCAAGGCCGTGGCACACTCCTTGGAGGACACCCAAGAAGCACTCAACAAGGTGAGACAACTGAAGTCCCGGGTGTGACCAGATACTACGATCTGCATCAGCTGAATCGGAGGAATCTCATGGATGTGGAGGAGGATGAACATGGTGAGACAGAAAACCTTCACTCAGACTCCGACCATGAGATGGCGCCGCCCAGACAGCGACCACGACTGTCTATGGCACCACCAGAACCACCACCAGAGGCATCCGCCGACAGCCCACCTCCAGACGGAGGACCGGGGCAACCAGCGGCACCTCCACCGGCACCAGACGATGGCCCAACACCAGATCCCGAAACAGGTGAACCAACATCGGCAGAGATCCCAGTTCCTCAGAGCGAACTCTCGCTGTCAGAACCGAGCGAAGAACCACCAGCACTCTCAGCAGCACCCACACCACACGGGGCACCACCTCATGGAGTACTACCGAACAACACGGCACAGGCACCAATGCTAGATCCGGCAACAGCGTCACTGTACGAAACAGCAGGACCGGAGACCTTCGAACAACGAAGACGCCGGTTCAACCAGCAAGAAACCTTGAGCTTTGCACCGTGGAGGACAAGCAGACCGCCACTGCCAGAGCCCTACATAGCAGCACCACCACCAAACACCACACCAGCAGAGTCAGCAAGCATGACCTACCAGGACTCAGAGCATGGCTTTGCTGTTGAAGATCTAGACGCAAGCCAATTGCCCACTGGTTGGAAGGTCGACGAGCACGGCTACCTGACTCTCAGCGAGACACCGTCAGACTTCTGGGAGATCAAAGCTGGATGTCTAATCAGACACCACCTTGTGCCTCGACGCGGAAGACTACACTTGGAGCACCTGCCAAAAGACTGCCCAGTCCCAGCCGATCGTCTCGATAAGGTTAAGGTGACCCTTGTCCACGTGACAGACGGCAAGAGCCGCCTTTTCACTGATGATGGCGCAGAGACCTCACCACCTTCCGGCATCAAATCCTCATGGACTGGCTGCACGATCTTCCAGATCGATGGCTCCCTGAGGAAAGAGATGGCTATGTACTCGGGACAGCACAACATCCACACCAGCATCAAACAGGAAGCAAAGAACCAAAAGATGATCAAGGCAAAGAAGTTCAAGAAAGACAAGAATGGAGTCAATGAACGCGCCTTGGGACCTCACGAAAGGGCACTTTTCAAGGAGGCCAAGGTCAAGGAACTCAAGTCCTTCTTCGACCACGGCGTCTGGACCTTTCAGCACAAGAAGGACGCCGATGAGTCTCGCACCCTGACGGCGAGGATGATTCTGAAATGGTCCAAGAATCCGGATGGCTCACCGAGGGCGAAGGCCCGCTTGATCGTGAGGGGCTACAATGACCCTGACGCTTTGGCAGGCCAGATCATCACCTCCTCTCCAACGACCACCAGGTTGAGCCGAAGCTACATCTTGTCCTTGGCAGCCAACATGGGATGGTCAACATGGACGGCCGACGTCTCCACTGCCTTCCTTCAGGGGCGACCACAAAGTCGAAAATTGTGGGTCAAACTGCCGGCCGAATGTCTTCAGCTGCTTGGAGGAGATGAGGACACAAGGATGTTGTTGCTCAAACCCTGCTATGGACAGATCGACGCACCTCGCGGTTGGTTTCTGGAAGCAGTTGACAGGTTGCTACGTGCTGGACTCCGTCAACATCCTCTTGACCCCTGTTGCTTCCTGGCATTCGAAACTGACAGCACAAACTATGATGCCCAAGATCCAGTGCACCAAACAGTTCAAAGCCTAGGCGATGAACGCCTTGTGGGAATGATCATCATGCACGTGGATGACATGTTGGGCAGCGGTTGTTTGAACTCCCCGCGATATCAAGAAGTGGTTCACACCCTCAAAGAGACCTTCTCATTTCGAGAGTGGAAGCAAGATCTCGACCAACTCGAGTACTGTGGATGTGAACTCACAAAGACCGAGGAGGGTGGCCGCCGACTTCATCAAGAAGCATATATGGGGAAGGTCAGTCCCATCTCCATCAAGAAGGGCAGAGCACCGACTGAAGCACTCAACGAGAGGGAGATCACCCAGGTCCGCGGTCTACTGGGCTCAGTTCAATGGCCGGCTGTGCAGACTTCACCTCACTTGCAGTGTTCCACCTCCATGCTGTCCAGCCAGATCAACAAGGCAACAGTGCATACAGTTCACGAGTGCAACCGCCTCTTGAAGTTCTGCAAGGAAAACAAGGACGTCGGACTCACCTACAACCACATTGGTGAGCCGCAGCAACTACAGATGATCACCTTCTTCGATGCAGGTTTTGGTTCGAGGCCAGATGGAAACTCCCAGGGCGGCTACATGATCATGTTGGTGAACAAGTCACTGCTCAACTCCTCAGAGGAGGGTCAGTATCATGTGCTTGATTGGCGCAGCTTCCGCACACCGAGGGTGGCCAGAAGTTCCCTTGGAGCTGAGACTCAGGCCGGAGGCCAAGCTGCAGATGCCACTGAGTTCGCATGCCGTTTTTGGGAGCATCTACTTCATCCAGCACTTCCTCTTCAAGAACTCCTGAAGGTTCGATCTCAGCTGGCGCCACAGCTGATCACTGATGCAAAAGCTCTCTATGACTCCTATCATCGTGAAGGCATCATCGGTCATCGATAAGCGCATCAGCCTCGAAGTCAGAGTGATGAAGGAGAGGATGCAGGACATCGGTGGTTCACTTCGATGGGTCTCCTCAGAGAGACAGCTCGGTGACGGGTTCACGAAAGAAAGTGCTCGCGCACTCCTTGCTGCTCGGCTTCGACACGGAAGGATCAAGTTGACTTGGGACCCGTCGTACACTGCGGCCAAACGCAAGACCAAGATTGAGCGCGAGAAGGCCATTGCAGAGTCCACAGATTCCTTCAAGCCTGAGCACGCCACAAACAATGAAGAGATCCCACAGAATGAAGACATGCCAGAGTATGAGTTGCCCCCTGACACCAAGGACACTCAGGAGTTCTTTGACACTCTTGAGGACAATGGCGATCATGAGAATGTGGAGCTTTGTGAGTATGTCCATTTTGCACAGAACACCGAAGCTCCAACGTATGTGTTCCTAGCCAGCCATGTCGTGAGCCGCGCAAACATCTTGCCCACGGGTCGCATGAAGTATGTGCACCCGAAGAGTATGAAAGTTTGTGGTTCTGGATTTTGGTTTTGGGCACCATCCATGTCACGGCACTCCTGGGTATGTTCATGTTGGGTCGCTTCACCAAGAGTCAACCCCAACCAGTACTACAAGACGCCTCCACCCAGAAGGATGAAGCGCTGGTCCCTCAGCGTCTGAGAGAAATGAACACCAAGCTGCGGGCCGAACACAGTCAGGCCAATCAGCAAGTAGAAGAGTCAAGAAAGGCAGCGCAAGAAGCTCGCGCCGCCATGGCGATGCAGGAGAGTGAGTTGGATGCCCTGCGCAATTTGTGTATGGCAGCCAGAGACCTTTTTCAAAATTTAGAAGAAGAGATGAGCGACCATGCTGCTCGCTGCCCGTTCACTCAGTTGATTTTCGCCTCGAAAAGAGGAGAATGTTGGCACCGAGAGACATGCCACCTTCGGGAGCAAATTGCAGAGCAGAACTTGCTCGTGCTCCGATGCTGTCCATACTGCGCCGGAGTAGCTCCACCTCCGAAGAGGATGCTGTATCCCCAAGGGTGGTGCATCGAAATGGATGTGCACCACTGGCTGAGGGCGTTTGATCAACATCATTCCCCCTCCGTGTGAAGATGTACGCCGTGCATCAGCTTTGTGTAGGTCAGGAGACCAAACCACCGTCCGACAGAAGGGCGGGCTCGAGAAAGCCAAAACCGGCTCGGTGCGCGATCACGCCGATCGCCTCTCGCCTTCGATTCGTTCGTTGGTTCGTGCTTGCTGGAAGACTTCGTTTGCTTCTGGTTTTCTACACTAATGTTATTTTGTTTCCAGCACCTGCATGATGGATGCCCTCATTTGGCTAAGTCAGTGAGAAGGAAGTCGTTCTTGGCCATAAGTTTGTCATTTCTGCTTGGGTGTTTGTCGGACATGGTAGAATACAGATGATGCAGCAAACAAGACGTTCTTGTCAGAGTAATTCACTTACAGCTGCCCTCCTTCGAGGTGCACGATGTGGTGCTGTCTTTGGAGGCAACTGTTATGATGATTTGCCATCGCTTGCAGCACATCCGACGTTTTGAGCGGGTCACCGCCTTGGAAGACCGAAGCTGCTAACAGTAAGCATGTTTTGCTCATGCCAGTTTGAGGTCGTGGTTCTGGACGCGGGGACATTGGTGGAACAAGGCCCTCCTAACATCTTATTGGATGCAGATCATGATGGAAGGACAAGGGTTGAGAAAGTGGAGTGTAGCCAGTGTAGCTATAAACAGAGATGAACAGTGACAGTAACCAAACAAAGAGTGGACGCTGCACAACTGCTTTTACACTGCGCCAAAAGCCCAGGAGCCATTTGTCCCGCCTTTGTGCTGCTGCAGGTTTGTGAACGAGAGCCGCACTGAGCTGCGCAGGGAGACACGTGTACAGAGCTGAACAAGCGCCGTGAACAAATTCGGTGAACACGGTGTCGATATGTTTTATGTTTTGCGCTAGCAACAAGTGCCTTACTAGTAGTAACAAGAAGCTATTAGAAACAAGAAGCTATTGCGTTGGGAACCGCTCTTTCTGTCCGTAATCTCCGGTGCCCAGGGGTGAGTTTCGACACACAGGAAACCGTTGCGGTGAAGGTGACGTGTAGTGTGAAGTGACAGTGCGGTGGTGAAGTGGGTTTGTGAGACACTTATCGAAGCAGTGCAAGTGCCCAGCGCACTACAGGGGCGGGGGGAGGGATGACCCGCGACCACGCCCTTACACCCACGAAGTTTTTTTTCGTGCCTCCTTGTACGAAAACAATTCCTCTCGTGCAGCATTGCCTTGCACAATTTTCAGGGTTGCACCAAGGGCATGCACATGCAGCTTATGTCATCGACTGTTTCATCTCGTAGCTTTCTACCTTGCGCGTACACTGGCTCGATTTAGCACCCCATCCGTGTACTTATTGGACGAGTTGCGTTCTGTTTCCCTGAACCTTTGGAACCTGGATTTTGTGATATTTCAATCGAAACGTCTTGTCCAGTTTCATTCTGCCTTGCGGTATAAAAGCCCCAAAACTTGGAAGTGTAAAACCTACACACCTGATGTGGTCTCCGCTCCCGAGGTTGCTTACAGGGGACAGGTTTCGGGACACAAACAAAAACATGAACATGCACATTCCTCGAGAAATCACGCTTTGAAGTGCAGTGCCAGACTCGAAGATGGCAAAGACTTCTTGTGATCATGTTTTCGCCACAGATTTCATGCGCTTGCTTCCTTTCTCTTCTCCTGATTGTGTGTGTGCTGTTTGTGAAATTGCCGAAAGGCGAGCAGCTTACGTGCCAGATTGCCCGGCTGCGTTTCGCCCACGCTTTCGTGCTGCTGTCATGGCATTGGAATTCAAGTTCCTTCCGAAGAAGCTGGTGCCGGGCCAGGCCCATTTCGCCAGGGTCGCCAACATCCCCAATCTCTCCAGGCAAGAAGATTCGCCTCGACCTAAGCTGTTCGCGACATCTTTTTCCAAAAAGGTATGACAACGGTGGAGCCAACAAAAGACACTCAAGTCCCTATTCACGATTGCAAGATGACATAAGAATGCAGATGGTGTACCTTGTGTCGTGTTGGTGCAGTCGTTCTTTGAGGTCGAAACGCGCGTGTTTTGGGGATTCCATTGGACCTCAGAGGGCAAGTGCAACAGGCGACCTTGCCCGTCCCTGCCAGCTACTCAAAGCCCATCCCAGGCAGCAACATGAAGCAACCATGAGTAATCCGCAACACACTGAAAACCAGGTCCGCAACATTTTGGGAGATGTCATTTGCCCAGCAGATCTCCAAGGAGTACAGTCTGAAGGCAGCGGGAATGACAACAAACCAGAACTGTTGCAGTCACTGGGATGTGCAATTTTCTCCATTCAGATCACGTCTGAGCCGTGAGAGAAGGATGCTGCACACAAGTGTACAAGAGAATCATAACTGTTCACATGTTTGTTAGTAACAAGAAGCTAGTAGTTTAACAAGTGCATCGCTAGTAGTAACAAGTGCCTTACTAGTAGTAACAAGAAGCTATTGGTTTTCCGGCAGAGGCCTCCATGACCCAAAGCCAGCTGTCCGATTGGAGCCAAGAATGCCCTCCGACGCAGGCTGGGATAGAAGAACCTTTCGGTGGTGAAAGCGGAGGTAGGAATAGCATGGAATAGCCAGCGGTAGCTAGTTGCTAAAGGAACCTCGGAGCGAAGACTTTTCAACCAATTCAGGAAAGAAGGAAGAAGACAACTGGAAGCACATATTGGGCTTGTCTTTTTTTAAGGTGTCCAGGTCATGTAGGGCCGGGATGTTCGACTTAGGCGAAGCATACCCCGAAGCATACCCTGAAGCATACCCTCTGGAAATGCTACTACTTTAGTCTTCACACTGCGCGAAGCATACCCCCGAAGCATACCTCCGAAGCATACCCCATAGTCAAACATCCCGGCCCGGGAACCTTAAAAAATTCAAACCCATATAGCAAAAGAAGACAAAGGGCCTCTTTGATAAGGCCTCCTTTAAAGGGCCTTCTTGCTTATATATGCTGCATGATGCATTGAGACAATTCTTTTTCACTCAACGTGGTGAGGACCAGCGACAGCAGTGACAGCACCGCTCACCAAAGTGGTTCGAGGCGGAGCTTAGCCAAAGGCTTAGCCCGCAGATGCAGGGCGAGAACAAAATTATGAAAAAAAACGCACCTGATACGCAAAAAAACACGCATATTACAGTATTTATCAGTATTTGCTGTTTTGCGGGTTCTTTGGGAGGCCCCCCCAACCCCCTGCAACCGCGATGTCCAACTCCTAAGGACCACAGCCCCTGGCCGGAGCAAAGGGCCACGCTACTAGGAGCGTTCGGACGCTACTAGGGGCTCCTGGCATCGCTACTAGGAACAAGGGCATCGCTACTAAATAAGACTCCTTTTCTTTGTTGTTTCTAATGGCGATGGCCTCCAACCTTTTTCCCCTTTTCCTCTCACTCACAAGCAGACATTGCGGTCATCTTCCAGCTTGGCTTCGGATCGCTGCTTTGTTATGGTTCCTTCCTCGGGTAAGAGTTTGGAGGAGGCATTCCAACGTAGCGCACCTTCTGTAGGTAACTTGGGGACGAATTGTAGAGCAGGAAGGATTGCAATCCAACTTGGAGCATACCTGTTGTGGGCCACCCAAGGGTAAAATGTAGAGCGGAGCATTTCGAACTCCGGGCAGACCTTTTGTGGGCCATGCACAGCACAATTTAGAGCAAGAAGCAGTGATTCCAATGCCAAGAGGAGTGGAGTATACTGACTAGTTTACTAGTATACATTTTGTGGTCCCGGGTCGTCTACAAAAGGTATGCTAAGTTGCAATGGCTGCTTTTTGCTCCAAAATTTACGCTTGACCGGCCCACATAACGTGTGTTTCAAGTTGGAATGTGCTCCTCAAGAGTTATGCTCCAAGCTAGGGTTGCTCCTTCCTGCTCTAAACGTTGCCAGTTGGTGGCCCACGAAAGGTGCTACGGTGGAATGGCCCCTTGAACGAAAACCACAAGGACAAACACATGACAACAAGGTCCAAAGTAAAGAAGCACAGTGGAAACCATGCATTGGCACAATATTATGACGCATCATCCACCGTATTATGCGGGAATGTTCTGGGATGTGTTCTGACGTCCTTGTTGGCATGTGTTCGGACCTTTATGCTGCCGTGCAGTCTGATATGTGTTCTGGCATGGCACCAAGCTGGAATGTGCTTGACATGTTGTGACATATGGTCCGACTTCGATTCAGCTAAGTCTTTCGACGTGTATTCCACAGTTTCTGACATATGATTTGGCATCCTTTAAGGCAATGATCCATAACGGCATTCTAACTGGCCTATCTTCTGCCATCCTTTCCAGCATTCTTTCCGGCATACCTTCCGGCATGTTTTGCATTCTATCTGGCATGCTCTGGCACTCTACGTGGCATATCCTCTGACTTCTGGCATCCTTTCTGAAATATCTTCTGACATCCCGGCTTATCTTCGGTAGCCTTTCCGTCATGTATTCTGGCATACCTTCCAGACTTCTAGAATCTAGAAGATCTGCTAGATAGAAACCCAAAGAGAATGCCAAAAGATATGCCTGGTAGAATGTCAGAAGGTATGCCAGACCGCCGGAAAGGAACGCAAAAGATGATGCGGCATGCCAGAAAGAATTGCAGAAACGATGGCATCATATATGCCAAAAGATATGCCAGATAGAATTGGAGAAGGTATGCAAGAATTAATGCTGGAAGGTGTGCCAGATTGAATGCCGAAAAGGACATCACAAGATTTTCCAGGTAGAATGCTGGTGAATATGCCAGCTAGAATGACGGAGAGGATGCTAGAAGATATGCCGGTCAGAATGCCAGAAAAATGGTAGATTGAATGCCGGAAAGGATGTCAGAAGGTATGCTAGAAAGGATGGCAGAAGATACAGCATTCTATTTGGCATATTTTTGGCGCTTTGGATGGTATGCGGGTCCATGCGTGCCCTTACTGAGCAGGCAGTCGCTGTGACATGAGGACGTGGCAGGAGGAGAGGATAAGGAAGGAAGGAGCGAAGCGAAGAGAAGCGAAGAGAAAAGAGAAGCGAAGGGAAGGGAAGGGATAAGGAGGGAGGGAGGGAAGGAAGGAGTAACATTTAAAGAATCTCACCTTGCAGGCCTGCAGGTGGTGAGAAACACGACAGGAGACACGCACAACACAGGAAACAGGAAACCATCACAACTTTTCTCAACGCCACCCACAAACAGGCGGCACGAGCCAACAAACCAGCAGGCTGCCAAACCACCAAAACCAAAAACCACGAACCACGAAACCAATATCCGAGAAGACAAAAGCCAAGAGCACCAACGGAAGAGGCAAGGGACAGAGGACTGAGGGAACAAAGGGCCAGGGGACTGACACACACAAGTGATTAAGGTTACAGCGGTTACAGGCTTGACTGGGTTGTTCCCAGTGACCAGGATGAGTGAGACCAGGAGACCAAGGGAACAGGGACCAAGGGACCAGCAAATTAAAACAATATTCTTTCCACTTGCGCGCTTTTCTGACAGACTCTTTGGTTCTGCTTCTGGCGCGACATACTCGGTGCCCATTTGCATCATGTGGCCTCGTTTTTCAAATTGATTGGCAGTTCTGATGCAATTTGAATGCATCGCATTGCATCACTGATTCATTCCCTCGTTGCGGATGGTTGCGCGGGCATGTGTGGAGTTGGTTTGACCGATGTCCTTCCCACAGGGCAACAGCATGAGGTATTTGATGTGTCACGTACCGCTGTCCTTTCCACAGGGCAACAGCATGAGGTATTTGATGTGTCACGTATGTGATCGGTTTCTTGCGAAACAATAATCCTTCGAGTCCTTTGTTTTGTAATATTACATGAAGGCAGAGCAGAGCACGGATAAGTCGAATGTTCAACCCTCCCAACGAAGCGTTGAGCTCACTTGATCGAGGAAAAACATTAACGACATGGAGCGATAACATATACAAATCCATTAAGATGCCCGATGTTTCAAAAGCTACCTCGGCACAACCAGATGGATGAAACCAACAGATGGATGGCATCTTTCTTATTCAATGCCCTTCATAGGCTCGCCTTGGGGACAGAAGAAGGAGAAACACGTTTATAGTTAAAGGGTGGCAACCACTTTCGGCCAAACCAAGTCTAGGATGGAGGCCATCGCTATTAATTAGGTTGGATCGAGTCTAGTGTTCGTTT